GTAGAGGGTCAGCGCAGGAGGGGAAGACCCTCTATGAGGTGGATTGATTCAGTGACTGGGGTAATCGGGATGGGTGTGTCAGAGGCTGTGAGATTGGCACGGGATAGGGCTGTTGTGCATAGGGTCGCTATGAGTCGCAAACGACTCGACAGCACATAACAACAACAACAACAGTGTTGAGCTCTGGTGGCCTAGTGGCAAGAAGCTGCACTGCAGTCCCAGAGCCTCATGGTTCAAATCTCTGCTGGAGAAGGAGGGGAAATCTCCTCCTGTACCAGTCAGATCTGATTTGATGGCACACATACACACACAAATAATAAAACATAGCTAGTGTTATTTAAAATATGAAGTTCTTAAGAGATTTTTCTGGTACACTACGAAGTTAGTGCCAGTCAACTCGGAAGTGTTATCTTTCTTATTACTTCATATTTTTTTTATATTGTGTTTTATACAGTCATTTATTCTGTTTTATTTATGTACATTGTGTTTTATATAATCATTCATATACATTATATAATTAATTACTGTTAATCTGTGCCTATTGTTAACCAGTCTTTTTAAATCCCTACTGAATCTTTCCTGTCCATCCACTGACCTCTGCTAATCTAGTGATTTTCACCCTCCCCTTTTTCTGCTCCTTTTCCACTTCTCCTTTTGGATATTTACACACATCTTACTAAGTTATCCTTTTGTTTTTATAATAATCATCTCATTCAATATTTGTCCTTATAAGTAAGACTGAGTTAGCTTACTCAAAATAATGTTCTCTAGTCTCTCCCATGTTGTGTAGTATTTTACACAATTGTTCCTTAACGTTGCATAGTATTCCATTGAGTGACTATAGCACAATTTCTCAATCCATTCATTTGTTAATGGGCATTTGAAGTGTGTCTATTTTCTTGGTATTGTGAATAATGCTGCTATGAACTTAGGTGCACCTGTCGCCGTTAATGTCTCAGTTCCAATTTTCTTGGGTATTATTAGTAGTGTTGGGTCATAGGGGATTTCTGTGTTCAGCTTTTTGAAGAAACAAACACCGGACTGTCTTCCAGAGTGGTTGTGCTGTTTTACAATCCCACCAGCAGTGCATAAGAGTTCCAATCTTTCGTCAGCACCTCCAACTTTTTTTGTTGTTGTTGTCTTGTTAAACTTTGCTACTGCTATTGGAGTGAAATGGAATCTCATTGTTGTTTTGGTTTGCATCTTTGAACATTTCTTCATGTGTCTGTTTGCCATCCCAGTATCTTCCTTTGTGAAGAATCTTTTTATGGCTTTTGCCCATTTTTTTACTGGGCTATCAATCTTTTTCTTTTACTGGACGCCCTGTAGTATTCTGTAAGCTTTAGTAATGTGACCTTTGTCTGAAATATCATTGCCAAATGTTTTTTTTCTTAGACTACACTTGATTTTGCTATGCTTGGACTAAGAGGTAGCCATCTGAACAGAACAGGGAAACACCATATGGTTCAAGATTAGGAAAGGTGTATGCCAGGGCTGCATCCTATTTCCATACCTTTTCAAT